AGAACGCTCGTCTCGCAAGCGAGAGGACCTAGGTTCGATTACTGGGCAGGGCAAAATGTTAGGCAAGTTTGCCCCGAAAAAGCGATTCGCCAATCGACTAACAAATGGTTTCCTACTTCCTGCTAGGTAAACAGAGGTTGTGGAGTAAGAAAATTTGCCCAACCTTTTGCCCTGCCAGGAATCGAATCCAGGTCCTCTTACTTGCGAGGCGAGCGGACTAACCACAACACTACAGGACTAAATAAGGAATGCAATATGTTCAGGAACAGTGAAATTTTGAACCCGAGATGTTTGATACAGTCACAATGTTGCAAGAAATAGAGCATCAATGTATCAAGACAGTAGACCAAGGGGACATAGGTTCAGAGTTGTAAAGGATAATTTCAGGACAGATACCAGGAGGTTTTTCTTTACACAGAAGGTAATCAATGACTGGAATAGGTTGCCAAGAAAGGTGGTAGAGGTTGGGATACTGGGTTCATTTAAAAAGCAGCTTGATGCAACAACGAAGAGATGGTAGGTTGGGTGCTCTGGAGGGATGAGATTGGATTGACCGAAGGGCCACTTCATACAGAACAATCTTGTGATCTTGTGACGCACGCATCAAAGAGGGTATCCGGACAGAGCTCCGAGATGTAATTGCATTATACAGGGGATGGTGAACATATGGAATGACTGGACAGGAGTAATGATGAGCAAATTCAAGAAGAATCTGGGTAGGATTTTGTTAACAATGAAGGGATAATATATGGTGCTCTTCAAACTTCAGGACTGGCCAAATGGATATAATGTTTTTTTCCAGTCCTGTTCATTTCTGTGTTTCAATGTTTCACAAACATGAGACAGGTTGGAGGTACAGTATTTTCCATCAAATATTCCGAATTTGGTCATTCACTTCATTGCTGTTTTGGGGCATTGCCATTCACAAATCGCTGCTGCATTTCCCAACAAAATACAGTCACTACACTTTACAATAAATCCTGTGAAGTACTTTGAGATGTCCTTCCAATATGAAAGGTGCTGTATCAAATAGAAGGAATATTATTCCTATGTTATTGTATAAAATCGCATTAAAATTTCTTCACATTTTCTGACACGTCAGAAAAGAACTGCATAAAGTTAATTAATTTAGTTACATTTGAATTTGGTAAATATATGGGGATAGTTTTGTTGAGAATTCAAATATTATTACAGTACGATTTCCCTGTGAAATGTGCTATATGAAGATTAACAAGTAATTTGTGTGTATTTCTCTACGCATTCAACTATATTGCATTTTTGCCAGATACCTCCAAGCAGATTATTTATCCAATGAAGGAAGATTCACCGACGGTGAAGATAATTTGGAAACATTTTATTGTTAGAATCCTCTGGTGACAGTGCCCCAAAAATGGCTTTTGGCTATTTTGTTTTCTCTGCCAAAATCGTAAGCAATTTTTACTTTGTTTTATTGGCAGGCATCTAGTATTAACTATTGAATAGGCACAAAAGCATTTCAGTCAACAAGCACATCTGTTACCCTCTTGAAAAGGATATGAAAAACATCTCGGATAATAAGTAATTACAAAGTCTGTCTAAATTCCAAGGACCACGTGTCTGTGAGTCAAGAAAGCACAGGGTTCCATGAATAATTTACCTTGCAATATTGTTCTCCATTAAAAGCATTTATTGTACAAGAATCAAATACACACAGGATTACACAGGCAATCACCCCCAACCTCCCTTTAGAATACAACAAAATAATTCTGAAAGAGAATTCAACTTCCAGCACTTATTGCTTTTGAGCTGCAGCATTTCATTTTGTTTTTCAGTGGTAAGGCTTGACGTATTGGAGGTGCCAGTGTTGAGAATGTGCAGATGGCAGAGATGTTTCTCTGCTTGAATAAATTAGGAAGAGAAGAGAGCAGTCCTGACTCTGTGTCGCTTTTTATTTTTCCCTTTCTGTTCTATTTGAATTAATTTTCATTGTCTGTTCCATCCAGACTTTGGCCATGTTAGCACACATCAGTGTCACTTAGCAGCAGGTGCAGATTCTTGCTCTCTTGTTCCTTTGCCTCGAATTTCCATTTAGACTGGTAGCTCGGAGCATTCAGTGCAAAGTTTCACCCCTATCTGCAAAGAGGAGCCGAGCCAGAAATAAATATTTGTGGGTAGCTCTCTCGTTTTGGAGCCAGATACTTGGAGGTTCATGCCGCCCTCATTGGGATCTTAGGCTCAGAGTCCAGGCTGAGCCTCCAGGAGCACTACAATGTTAGAGGTACTGTCCTTTGGATAATATATTAAACCAAGATTCTGTTCTGTTCAGGTGCATGTTAAGACTCCCATGGCATTATTCAAAAAGAGAAGGGAATTTCTCCAGGTGTCCTGGCCAACAATCCCCCAGATAAAATTGATCATTGACTTCACAGCTGTTTATGGGACATTGCTGTGTGCAAAATGGCTGGCACATTTGCCTACAAAATAAACAGTCACTATACTTTGCAGTGTATTATGTGCAGCACTTTGAGACACCCCGTCCCTCCACATGAAAGCCACTGTATCAAATGTAAGGATTATCATTATTACGTTACATTACTGCCCTTAAGCAATGCCAACTGAACGTCAGCTGAGCTGACACTAATAAATACATTCTATGATAATTATTATTTTTCTGGCAGGTACAGTGCATTGTGGACAAACTAGAAATCGATGTAAAATGCTTACCAGAATGTATGTTAATATATGACTGTATGAGTCAGCATGGTCAAATCCAAAGTATATGACAAGAATATGGGGATAAGAGAAGGTTCCTATTCAACTCATGCTTTATTTATGTCCTCATCTGCATTAAAACGTTTCCAAATCTCTCTTTCATTTGAAGAAATGTTTTCAAATCTCTGATTTATCTGTAGAAGACGTAGAGTATTCTTCTACACCTCACTGAATCAGAAACTAATACAACTCAATGCTGCAAAGGGATCAGCAATTATTGAAATATTCATTAATCAACAAAACAAATTACTAAAGATATTTTCCCATCAGCCATGTTTATCTTATGGCTTTGTAGATTCCAATCACAGTCCTTTTGTTCTGAACATGATCCATCTCTACACATTTACTTCATCAACCTGCTTAAGTAAGGCATGTGGATACAGCTGTCAAGAAATGTTGTATGGCTGCAGTTTTACTTTCTAGGGTTGAGACAATTGAGAGGGGATGTCATGGATGTGTTTAACATTATCAAAAGATTTGATAATTCATGTCCTCCTGACGTGAAAGGCGTTATACAAATGTAATGTGTTGTTGTTATTGTTGAAAAGGTGGATGTTGATAGATTGCATTCACTTGTTGGTGAATCTTAAACTAGAGGGCATAAAGAAGAGAACCAGCGGTAGATTTAATAGGGCATTTAGGGGGCACGTCTTAAGAGTTAACTTATTGTACACCTGAGGGAAAAGGGAAGAGCAACAACAACAAGATTTCATTTATAGAGCGCCTTTCACGTCAGGAGGACATCCCAAGGCACTGGACAGTTGGGTCGGGACCCGAGCAGGGGGAAAATGGTTAGGGTGAGGGGAGGGAAGGGAGGGAGCGAGGAGGGGTAGAGAGTCGAGAGGGGAGCTGAAGGCACGGTTGAAGAGAAAGGTCTTGAGACCGGCCTTCAAGGAGGAAAGGGAGGAAGCAAGGCGAAGGCACTGGGGGATGGAGTTCCAGAGCCTAGGGGCTGAGAGGCTGAAGGCCCGGCCACCGATGGTAGAGCGGTTGGGGCGGGGGATGTGGAGCAGACCGGAGCCAGAGGAACGGAGGGTACGGGCAGGTAAGTAGCGGATAGTAGGTCAGAGAGGTAGGAGGGAGCAAGGCCGTGAATGGCCTTGTAGGTGAGGGTGAGGATCTTGAATTCGATCCTCTGGGGGATGGGGAGCCAGTGGAGGCGAGCGAGGGTGGGAGTGATGTGGTCCCGAAGCCTGGTGCGGGACAGTACACGAGCTGCAGAGTTCTGAATGACCTGCAGCTTGTGGAGGGAGGTGCCGGGAAGGCCGGCGAGGAGAGAGTTCCCATAGTCCAGCCTTGAGGTGATAAAGGCGTGAACCAGGGTTTCAGCAGCGTGAGGGGTGAGGTAGTGCCGAAGTCTGGCGATATTCCGGAGGTGATGGAAGGCGGTGCTAGAAGGGGTGCGGACTCATGTGAAACTTAAACACTGTCAGGGACTGGTTGTGCCACATTACTCTATGTATCTCTCTGTAAGTAAATAATCACAATGATGCACCGTATCACTCTCTTTTCCAGTGAGAGTAGGCAGAGCTGCACTTTCTTCTCTTGACAGTGCAAGCATCTAAGACCTACAGCCATCACTTTGGGGAAATTTCTGAATCAGTCCCGCTCTCTCTATATCTATCAACAAGCGAATGACTGAATATCACATAGTGTGCCTTCCTCAATGTTATTTTGATTCTCAATTTGTACAATAAGACGGCTATTTTGCATGAGTTTATTAGAAATATAGTTGAGCGACTTAGAATCGTTTCACCAAAAGAGCAAACCAAAAAATGTGAGAGTAACTTATAACCAGAGAGCATGTTAGGGTTCTTAAAAATGTGTACTGAGTATCCAAAAAATCTGTACAAAATGATCATGCGAGCATATGGACCAATCAACTGGTCCAACCCCCGAGATTGGTCAATCTATACATCCTAAATAAAAATGCGCAACAAGTGATTCAACACGGATCAATCCAGTGACATCTTTCATTCCCGTCTAAGCCTCAAGATCTGTTGATGAAGTTATCTTGCTGCATTTTCCTGACCAGTCATCTTTTTCTTTTGTTTGCATAATATACGCGTGATTTCACATTAATTGGGTCTCTGAAATACAGACATTTTACAATAGTTCTTGTAAGCCTTAAAAGAAGCACACTTAACAATTCAGAACTCGTGTCCTCTGCTGCACCAGGCTCCGCAAAATAATCACCCCGTTTAATGGACCTTCCTTTCCTGCAAGGCCACCCAGTGTAGTGAGCTTACCTCAGTACTGTTGAGTCTACAGTTGTGTGTTCCTCCGAACCATCCTTCAGACGAGCACTGGTCAATGTCTACACTCTGAAGATCCACGTCAACTCGAATCACACCCCTGGAAGAAGAATAAAATGACTAATTATCACAGCTAGATGGCAATAATTATAGTAACAATAATCCTTGCATTTCATATATTGCCCATAATGTTGAAACGTTTCAAACTGCTTTACAGTAATTACGATTAAATTACTGTATTTGTTACATCCAGCCTCGATTTTTAGAATGCCCTTCTCGCTGGTCATCCCAGCTCCATCACCCACAAAATTCAACTGATCCAAAACTCTGCTGCCTGTATTATCACCAAAACCAAACACCGCAATCACTCCAGTCCTTGCCAGGCTCCACTGGCTCCCTATTGCAGAATGAATGGATTTCAAGATCCATCCATTCTGCAATAGGGAGCATTGTTGCAGAATACAAATCTATCCAAGCCCAAGCACCTCCCAGTTCTCTAATTACTTCAGTAAGTTATCTTTGCAGTCTTAGCTAGTTCAAGGAGACATGTAGTACTAGTTTAAGAACACTCTACCCGTTGTCTCATAGCTTTTCTTCGCTTAGTGGGTTCATGCTACTTGGATGAGCGGATAGGAGGTAGTAGCTTCTTTAAGACCTCAGCTGCAGAAGCAAGGAAGTCTTTGACTACATCGTCGGTCATTGAATCTGCACAGATCAGCTTCATGTCCATCAATATCTGAGTAGCTTGGCGCGATCACTTGGAACACAAGCGACATCAGCTACTCTGACCTGGCTGTTAACCTCTCATCACAGGATCAGTGAAATGCAAATTCCCTTGCCACAGAAGGTAACTGGCCAATGGTCTGAAGTTTCACTGGGTCTCTAACAATGTATTGAACTAATTAATAGAATCATAGAATTATACAGTGCAGAAGGAGGCCATTTGGCCCAATTGTCCATACCGGTTCTTTGAAAGAGCTGCCTAAATTAATCCCACTCCCTTGCTCTCTCCCCATAGCCCTGCAAATTTGACCTCCCCAAGCATCTATCTGCTTACTTTGAAGGATTTTACTTAAATCCTGCGTGACATATTATCATATACTCTGCCACTCAATCCACAACTGTACCCAAAAGACTGATGTACACAATGGCTGCCGCGTTTCACCTACAAAATATACAGTTAATCTACTTTACAATATATTCTGTGAAGTGCTTTGAGGCATCTCAACAATGTGATAAGACTCTATATCAAATGCAAGGACTATTATTATTATGCTACTAACCCTTAGAGTGCAATGGTTATGTTTTTTGTCCAACTCATTTAATAGGGGACCACCAATATTCATGATTCCCACTTCCTAAGGTAGACATAGTACAATATTTTAACAATGATTCTTGATTACAAATCTGGTTTCCTAGTCCTACTCACTTTTCCGATGGAAGTGATGTCAACTCTGTGCAAACTAACATTAGCATTAATGTTGCAATAGGGACACACGTCATCCTTCAGTTTCATCACTGATGCACTCAGACCCCACGGTAGTGCTGCTTAGCAATGAGGCCAATGAGTCATGTAGCTGGAAGTGTTAACTAGCCTTTTGACAATAGTGTTTGTGGACCTATACTGATGTAGTTTGGGAGCTGGAACATAGAAAGAATATATAAATGTCTCCAGCTGAACTTAAATGACAGACAATTCTCTCAACAGCAGCACATGAAAATCAGGGGTATAAATATTGCATCTATAGTTAACCAATAAAGGTCAATTATAGATCTAAACTCTTAAATAAGTGAATCCAAAATATGTTTTTAATAACACAGGCTGAGATTAACAGTCTGCTTTATAAATGACAAATCTCTGTAATTAAATGTCACTGGTTATCTAATATTCTGGCTCTAAATATATAGCTTCCAATCTTTGATCCTGACTAATAAAGCGTAACAAAAAAAACTGGATTAGCTACTCTGACACATTTCTAATAAAGTCAGCTTTGAGCATGTGCATACCCACTGCTTAATCCCTATTCAGCCATTGCTGTCAGATCATTCTCTCACACAGTAAGCTCAGTTCATATTCCTAGAGCAGTGTGTTTACCCCACAGAGGGGTTTGTTCAAGAATGGAACACAAGCTCCTGTTCTGGTTATTCCATTTTGAGGAAGTACTAAATAAAAGCAAGATATTGTACTTCTGCACAAGCAACAACAACAACTTGCAGTTATATTGCAGCCTTCATGCAGGATACAGCATCTCAGAGCGCACAAGTCGGGTGGAATAATTATTCCGGTCTACTGGCCAACAACCCCCCAAATATAATTGATCACTCACTCCATGGCTCTTTGGAGGATGTTATTGTGTGCAAATTGGCTGCTTTGTTCACCCACAAAATAAAGAGTCGCACCAATTTACAGTGTATCCTGTGAAGCACTATATAGGATTATAATTGTACAATAATATTTGGAGGAAGCATGTTGTCATAAGTACGTATTACATACAGAACATATAGAACAAAATACAAAATGGTTATTGGGACATAAGGAGGCTGCCCAGAATCTAGAGGCAACAAGGATAATCCACAGAGTAAGAGAAATGAGCAACAATTAGATAAGATAAGGTTCTTCGGTCTTGAAAGGAGATGTCTCAGTGGTCACCTTATACAGCCATACACAATTTTAAATGGGATTGAAAAAGTAAACCCAGAACAATACTTTTAATAATAATAATAATAATAATCCTTGCATTTGATATAGCGCTTTTCACGTCGAGAGGACGTCCCAAAGCGCTTCACAGAATAGACTGTAAAGTGAATTGACTGTATATTTGTGGGCGAACGCGGCAGCCAATTGTAGCAAATGGGACAAAGGGCCTTCTACATCCAAACTAATCATGTGATTTTGTGATATTATTTGCTAGCTGCACATCAGTGAGTCATTCAATGAAACGTCGTAAGCAAACAGGCCATCAACTGCCACCACATTCACTCCTCTGCCAATTTGGTGTTGCACATGTTAGTTGTTGCACTCTGAAATGTATGGACATTATTTACTATTGCAGATTTGCTGTCACTTTGTTGATGAACTAGCCTGCAAAGTATTCACTCAATACACTTTCACTGAATTACCACAGAGACTGCCTTAAACCACTTCAGAATAATAATTTCAGACTTCTTTCAAGCACGTTTATACATCCAACAGTAAATATAGTATTACTCGATCCAGCCTCAGTAAAACTATTCTGTGAGACTTTACAAATCATTGCTTTCCTTTGCTGTGTAGAAATTTATTTAGAAAATTTACAATTTGGTAATTATAATCAGAAAATAATGATCACACCATTTCTAGTGTTGTGTTCTGTACTCTAGTTAAAATATGTGTTATATCATTAAATAATAATAATAAATTGGTCACTCAATTCATGACTGTTTGTGGGACACTGCTGTGCCCAATTGGCTGCCGCGTTTCGACCACAAAATATACAGTCAATTGACTTTACAGTATATTCTGTGAAGCGATTTGAGACGTCCCGAAGACATGATAAGGCGCTATATCAAATGCAAGGATTATTATTATTGTTATTGGTCTATTTATTTTTACTGTTCAGCACTAGACTGACTTACATAAACTGCAGCATAGCAAAAAGAAACCATCTATTGAAACCCCATAAAACCATGTATTAACCCATCCCTTCCCAAACGACAACTCCAACCATCAAACACAGTAATTGTCCAGGTAGGACTTGCAGCTTTGGCTTGCGAGGTGTAAATCTAATCCATATTTAAACATATGATACGTGTTTAAACACATGAACATATTTTATCATCTTCAAAAAGGAAAAAGAGTGGATCCACTAAGATTCAAACACAGAACACTCCTTGTCTGATGTCATTGTCCCCCTCCAAATTATATGAAGGTCATATGATATATGAAACGCTCTTTAACCGCACTTTCGGTCATCTTTCCCATCTCCCCTCGGCTCCACCTCCCGATCAGGTAGCCACCAAGTATTGTTAAGCGCTTTGAGGTGTCCTCCCAATGTGAGATGTGCTCTATAAATTCATACTGTATTGTATTGTCACATCGTCAAAACATCTCAAAGCACTTCACAGGATTTACTGGAAAGCGAAGAGACTGTTTATTTGGTATTTAATTTGAAACTAAACAACGGTTCAAACTACGCAAAGTCTATGGGAGCCCTTTCGGTTTAAATTACTTCCACCTGCTAAGTTAGAAAATCACAGAATAATAAAAAAATTATTTCCTACCATGAACAAAATGCCGAGTAATCATCAGTGATAAGGACAAAATATGCTGTTGTTTTGTCTTGGTCAAACATCACATTACACATCCTTCCCTCCAACAATGTAATTATGCCAACAAAACACACAGTCACTACACATCACAGTTTGTCCTGTTAAGCAATTTGAGGCATCTCCCAATGTAAAAGGTGCTATATCAAATCCAAAGATTATTATTATTTAACATTTAACAGATTTGGGGAGGTACAGAAAATCCTGAATTTTGCATCTGTCTTTGAAGACCGTCCACTGTAAAAGCGTTAATATACTCTTAATGTAATGGCTGTAAAACACAATCTGAACAAAGTGGAACCTAACTGCAAAGTTTATGTGTTGCTGTTGGAAATTAAACAGGAAGTTGAATTGATTTACGATTATCTTTGTTCAACTATATTGAACATCATTATTCAATTAATCACTTTGGGGGCGGTGTGAAGTGAAGCTATTGATTCCATCCATTGCACAGAGCCACATCACCTTGTCAGCTAAACAAAAATGCGAAAAGACAGTGCATTGCTAGAGGTGCCTTCAGATGAAACATTAAACCAAGGTCCTGTAAGACTGTTCAGGTGGACACTAAAAATCCTGTGGTACTTCTCAAAACAAAGATACAGCTTCTTCTTGCGTTCTGATCAAAAATCAACCAGATATAATAATAATCCTTGCATTTGGTATAGTGCCTTATACCGAATGCAACGTCCTCCCAACGTGAAAGGCGCTATACAAATGTAATGTTGTTGTTGCCTTATCACATCTTCGAAATGTCTCAAAGCGCTTCACAGAATATACTGCAAAGTGAATTGACTG